CAGGGGACGTGCCTCGGCTCCCAGCAGTGTTGACCCAACGATGAGAAGCTGCCGCATCCAGTTCGTGGTCTCGAAGCAGCAGCGACATGGAGTGCAGCTCTGTTCAGGGCATCCGCTCCACGTCGACCTTGTCCGCTGGATCGTCTCGCCTCATGCCGCAGCGATTGCACGTCGTTCAAATTAGTTGTTAGGATCGCTGGAACCCGTCGATGAAAATCAGTATATTTTGAACGTGTTCTTGCTGGTCGACAACGGATAAATGAATGCTATTTATATAGATGAAACCAGGTTGATTACAAGTTTCAGCACAACAGAGGCATCGGCCTGAAACTTTCAACGCTCCCTTCCCATTCGGAGTCCTGTCGGCGCCGACAACGGGCGGATTGTTGCTCACTGGCTCGAGCCTCGGTTGGATGTCCCAAGCGTCGTGGTTTCGATCCCCCGCGTCCGTGGAGGATGTCACCGACGGCATTCTCCCCCGTGCGGACACCACGTATCCTCTGCAGCGCGCCGACGACGAGGACTTGACTTTGTCGAAGAAAACAGCCAAGAGCCACGCCGCACTTTGAAACAATTGGAACAACCCAAACGCTGTCGTCTCAAAGCGGAGGCCATTGCAAATCCGCAAACAACTTAACAGAATATATATGAAAGGTTGCCGCGTCGAGTGTAGAAGGTTGGGCCGCCATACAAATTTCAAGTGTAATCTGTGCAACTCGATATTGTTCGAGATCGAGGCAATATAAAATTATACAGACTGTACGATCCTTGGTGTCGCCGATGGCCATTTTCACAGTTGACCTTTCGGCGATGAAGCATCTTGTCAAGGTGGAGGAGAAGGCGGGGTTGACGGCGAACCTTCCGGCCGACGTGGAGGCCCAAAAGCCGATTTACATCGAGGACAAGTGGAGCTGGAGTAGCTACCTCCACGACCCGCTCGCTCGCAAGCGGATCGTGTTGGGCGGGATCGGATGTTCGCTGCTGCTGCTGTCGTTTTACTTTGGGTACGCTCGCCATGGCGCGCCAACGGATTCACGATTCGTTGTCCCCTTAGGTACAAGGCTGGTACGACTGCTCCAGGCATTCAAACACTGAGCACTCCCAACGATTTGGTCCCCGCACTCGACGACCGCGCGATCGAGTCGACCGTCGTGCGAGTAAAAATGCCCCACATCCACAACGAGTTGACGCGCCACGACGACGGCAGCGACCCAAACTAAACTTCCTAGTGTGAATCCCACGTTTATCTTGTCGACTTTATCCAAACACTTCTTGGTTGTACCGACGGGACGACACTATCGCGTCCCACCAACTCGCAAGTCTATCGCGACGTAATAGCGCTTGGATTTGCTGCGCCATGGTAATCTTGCCACAAACGTAAACAAACGCGTTGGCTGTGTCCAACAAAGTGACGACTGCGTCAAGGTTCGCCTCCAACACGTCTTGAACGTATTCTTTCTTCTCTTGGCCGGGTTCCCGCGAGTACGCCACGAGGCATTCGACGTGCAGAGGGGCCAAGGCTTCCAGCTCGTCCCGGTACAACCAACTCTCACCGTCTCGACACCCAAAGAGCAGCATGGTCTTGCCCACGGGCTCGCCGCGCTTGGCTGCCTCGTTGCGATCTTGCCAAATGGCTCGCATCGGAGCAATGCCTACCGACACAACGCCATCAAACCAGGCACAACCACAACGCGGTTGGCGTCAGGGAGATGGGCCAGTTGAAGGCGTGCGAAACAGCCGCGGAAACCCGTGAAACAAGTCGTACCCGAGCCAGCCGCGACAAGGATGACGGGCGCTTCATGCGAGTCGGGGAAGAAAAACGTCGACGCCTGGTGCGATCCTCGAAACCACACGCAGTCGGATGCAGATGGCGGCGATGCTCTTGCGAGATGGGCTTTCAATAGCGACACCACACACGCGCCCATCGTTCCGTTGTGGTGGTGGATGTGTGCGAGCGGGTTCTCCGGGACGGAAATGCAGCATTGAATCACATGCGGGCTTGCCGCGGGACTCGACGCGATCGTGTACCGTCGGGGCTTCATGGGACTGGCAATCGCCAGCAATGCCGCGAGCGACAGTTGAACGCTAGGAAAGACATGCAGGACCCCCACCAGAGACAACCGAGGCTTCCGGACCACGTCAGCGTACGCGTCATCGATCGAGCCTGCGAAAACAACGACGGGTGCGTTGAGGGAAGGTTGCGTAAGGAGGAAGGCACACCGAGATGACGAAGTCGTTCAGCGTCCGACGGGCTCGTGGCATGAGGGGCGAGCGCCGTCAGGATGGTGCGAGACACCGCGCAGAGGTCGACGTAGTGCGTGAGCGCGTCGATGACCTTGCAAGGCAGCGGGATGTTGGCAGGGTTGTGCTCTTGGTGGGTGAGTTCACTCGGGGAGTGCACCCACTGGGTCAAGTTGAAGCCGCAGCGACTCGCCACGGCCTGGACGATCTCGATCGCGTTCTGAGGATACAAGGCCAGCGTTTCCGTGGCTTTATATGGCACGTCCGTGGCAAAGTCGACTTGGACCGCAGTCGACGACAGCGCTTGGACAGACAAGACTTGCATTGCGGGCGGCAGATACAGCGCCGCGTGCAGCGTGGAACCCGATCGGGGCAGAGGGCGCGGCGTGCTCACCGCTGCGTACGTGGCACCGTCCACTACGTGCAACTAAGTCGTCCGCCGCGCTTTCACGCGAGCGTACCATGTGCCTCGGCCAAAGTAGCGGCTGGAATAGCCAGGACGTCCAAGATGGTGCTTTCCCACGCGGCGTAGTCGTTGTCCAAGTGATCGATTTCCCCCGCCGCGTCGCCAAGCGTCAAGTCGTAGAAACGGGTGGCCCCGAACGCTCCGATCTTGGCGTCGACGAACTTTGCCATCCCGTTGTACGAGTCCGTATAGTCCGAGTTGCCGCAGCCAAAGACCGTGTAGTGCATCGTCGACAGGTCCGGCTTGAGCGACGTCTTGAGCCAGCTATAGAATGCCGACGCGTCGTCCGTCGGGCCGCCCGTGCCGTAGCTCGCTACCATGAAGATAACCATCGTGTATTGCGTCAAGTTTGCCACATCAAACTGGCTCAGGGACATGGCGTCGGCCTAGAGCGTTCGTAAGAGCCGATGCCGCCTCGTTCTCGCCAACTCACGTGGACGTTGCGGTGGCGAGCGGTGGCCACCAACCTCCTGGCATACCCTTCTGTCGTGCCTGTCTGGGAGCCGAAGAATACGTACACGTCCGGGTGGGGCGGCGGCAACGACGGCTCGACGCTATTCCACCCAAAACATCGGCCGCACACGCGCTGCAGCATGTCAACGAAGCGAAGCATGCTTTCTCACTCGCGTTGGGCCACTGCTGAAAAGTACAATCGGTTTCACCGGTCGTTTCGGTGCAAGTCGACCCCAACACATATCGTCAGCCCCCATGCGCCCATTTCGTTTTGCACGACCGGAGAATAAATACGTTGATTTGTGCACAACGGCGTCAATGGCCATCACGCAGGTCGCGCCTGCTTGTAGTTTGTGAGGCAGGTTTGGTACGTGCTATTGTCGTGCTTGGTGTACATCTCGAGCACGCTCTAGAGAAACAAGTCAGCGGGGACGGGTCGGCTTACTACGTACGTGAGCCAGCATGCGCACCGTCACGTTCCAGTGCGTTTTGAATGCGACCATGAGCGACGGAAATAAAATCGGGAGCACTTGTTTGGTGTGTTGCGGATTAAAAATCGAGTGATTGACGAGCTGCGCCGAATTCCAGAGAAACAGCGTGCGCTCGGCCACTTGAAAGTGGACGCTCGCGACGCACTTGGCCAGCACACTCGTCACCTTGGCCTTGGTCGAGTCGTTCAGGCAATCGACTGGACTGCATTCGAGGACTTCTTCCAGCGCGTTCAGAAACAAGATCTGCTTGGCTGTGCTTTGCTTGGGCCAGTGCACAACGAGGTACTCGACCGTCGTGGATGCGAGCGCCGAGTCCTTGCCGATAAAGTCCGTTATGCACAGCAAGAGCGGCTGGTGGTAATGAACGAACGAGTGCTTCAGCAGAGGCAGCAGCGTCTTTGTCAGCAGTTGAACGTGATCGGGCTGGAGGGGCGTCGCAAATCCGCGAATAAGGCTGCTGACCACTTCAAGCAGCTCGGACATGCCGTACGGGTATCCCGCGTGGCCATACTCTGCATATTGCGCGAACGCGTGGACGAATTCCTGGCGAATATGCAGCCGCAAACTCTTGAATTTCGCGTAGATCTTGTGCAATACAGTGGCAACCATGACGCGTTCGCGAGGGTCTTGGCTCTGGATCATAATCAGCAGCTCCGAGACGAACGACGGCGTGATGTGCTGCTTGATCACACGCGGAGGAATCGGCGCCTCTACTAGATGAACGAGCAACGTATACACCGTCTGCATGGATGCGTGAGGGCACAGTCGAACGATCGATATCCAGTACACACACACACGCACCTCTAGGAAATCCCAATGGGGATGGTACGATGGTGGGTCTTCGTCGGGATCGTACGACGACGGCGGCAAAGGGAGTGTGCGCAGGATGTTGCCAGTCTACCACGACACATTTCGATTCACCTCACGAGCGACGACGTTGCACTTACGACGATACGCATGTACATGGGAACGTTGTCGTCTTCGAATGCAAAGGCAGGACCGTGGATAGTGTCAAGGAGGTGCTGCATGCATTCGTACTTGATCTGGATGGCGGCATCATCCCCACCGCGGCCTCCGAGAAGCGCTGTGATGTCCATGCGGCGAATTCTGTTGTGCGTTGATTTGGCAAAGCGTCCTCGGCATGGGAAGAACGTTTGTCTGTCGTATACGTGGTTTTAATTGGCCAAAATAAAGCAATATTCTTGAATATGCCCTATGATTGGATACATTTCAACCAATGAAACGCGGATTGCCATGCCCGAAGTGGCCCACTGCCTTGTCACAGATCGCGCCAACTCGGTCCAACCTCGGAATAAAATCCCATGCCCCTCAAAGCATCCAAAGCGGGCGTGCGAAACGAGGTCCACATGAAGGCTCCAAAGGTCAAACAACGGCTCCCCTGCTGCTGTCCGCTGCCGCCCGCGCTTGTCAAACTACATTCACTCGGCCGAATGTCGGTAGATCTTCCCCCGCAACTGCTTGAGACGGCCCTTGACTGCTCAACGAACTAGAGGGGGTGCTTGTGGGGGTGCGGTGCTGGATGGAGTCGTTTTCATGACCGACCCACGCCCCTGCGCTGTTTGTCCGCATGGCCGAGTCAGAGGGCGTTTGCCGAGACATGCGATTTGATGATGCCCAAGAGCCATGTCGTGTGGACGCCCCCCTGGCCGGGGGAACCACGTTCAGAACTTGTCCCCGCACGTGGATTGTGAAAGACGTCACCAGGACACTAGTCTTTTCGCCCGGGGCCTTGCGGAGACTCAGGGATGACCTATTGCGCCGACAGACACGTGCACGGGGCAGCGCATGCGAACGCCGTCGCCACCGTGCAAGGACCAACATTCCTAAACGCCGGGAACACGCGCTGAACAATCGGTCTCGCATTTGTCCAAACGAATAAAATACGCTTGTTGTTTGTATTCAACCCGAACGGTTTTCAAATAAAACGACGCGGGTCAGTGCTGAGTGTTGGTCGTCGACGCCACACCACCCAAAAGTCGTTCGGCCGTTCATTCTCGATCGAGCTCCGCGCCGCGCGCACGATGGCGATCCGCTGCCAGTTTGAAAACTCCAACGAGATCGGTGTCTTCTCCAAGCTCACCAACTCGTATGCGCTCGTGTGCGTCGGTGGCAGCGAGAACTTTTACTCGACGTTCGAAGCCGAGCTGGCGGACCACATCCCCGTGATCCACTGCTCGATGGCGAGCTGCCGGTTTATCGGGCGCGTGTCCGTCGGCAACAAGCGCGGTCTCCTCCTTCCCAACTCCACCACAGACCAAGAAATGCAGCACATTCGCAACTCGCTCCCCGACTCGGTGGTCGTCCAACGGGTCGAGGAACGGCTCAGTGCCCTCGGCAACGTCGTCGCGTGCAACGACCACGTCGCGCTGGTCCACACGGATTTGGACCGCGAAACAGAAGAAATCATCGCCGACACACTCGGCGTCGAAGTGTTCCGCCAGACGATTGCAGGCAACGCGTTGGTCGGGAGCTACTCGGTCATGTCGAACCAAGGATGCCTTGTGCATCCCCGCACGACCGTCGACGACCAGGAAGAACTGAGTTCGCTGCTCCAGGTGCCTGTCGTTGCAGGCACGGTGAACCGAGGCAGCGACGTCCTTGGTGCTGGCATGGTCGTGAACGACTGGACGGCATTCTGCGGGCTCGACACCACGTCGACCGAAATCTCGGTCGTCGAGAGCATCTTCAAGCTGCAGAATGCCCAGCCAAACGCGATCGCGTCCAACTTGCGCAGCGCCTTGATCGACTCGATGACGTAAACTCTAATCTACCTCCTCCATCTACCTCGTCCCGTGCGCATTGGGACAAGCGGGTCCTTATCACCACCACGTGGCGCTGTCCGAGCCATGCCACTCGTACGACGCGATGGCCGTGGTGAAGATGCATCTTTCGTGGTACCTACCTCGGCAGACTCTACCAAAGGAACGATCCAACACGCATGCAATCCACCGATGCCGCCGTCGACCATTTCGCGGTCAGTGCTTTGACGAGCCGGGTGTGCTCGACACGCAAAGGACCATGTTGCGTCGCGGCGCTCGAGATAGCCAAGCCCGCACAAGCCATCGACGAGAGGCCGGCTCGAGTGACATGGTCATGCAGTTCCTGCCCAAGTCCACAAGATGTAGCATGCTCCAAAGCTCAGGCACGTGGCCTGGTGTCGCGGCAAAGCACGTCGACGTTGTTGCGGACGTGGATCGAAAGCAACATGCAGTCGTCGTGATTACCGACTCGGACAACCCGCGACTCTGGCGGCACGGCGATCGGTCAAGTTGCGCCGACGATCTTCCACTGGAGCAGCGTCCGATCGGTGCCCCCGATCGTAAACAGCGTCGAGTCGTCGCAGCTGATGGCGACGCCATGCACGGGTCCGCCATGGCCCTCGAGTGTTTCGAACGCCATCTACTCGACGTTTCCATGAGCCACCAAGATGCACACACACCGCCGCCGTTTTTACGTTTTTGGACAAGCACGGAAACGAGTGGCAGTGGAGGTCGCCGCGATCGTTTCCGCACACAAGCACGTTCTTGGATGGCGCGACTGCGACGGCATGAACAAACGCGTCGCTCCACATGCCCTGGCACGACCAGCTCAACACACACGAGTAACTCGCCCACTCGACATCACGCAAGAGGCTCGGGCTGGTGATCGACGCGCCGTCCAGCGTATTCACTGCGCCGCGCACGCCGTGTCAGCGATCCGTCCCATGACCGCAGCAACTGTACCATAAAGGACCTCGAACGCGTCGCTGTTGGCTCGGAGGTACCGGCTGTCCTTGGAAAAGTCGACATGCGTGACGTGCCTGTACACGATTTTGTCATCGCATGGGCGGCATATCATGCCGTCTTGACGTACCCCGTCGCCTTGGTGCACTTGGACTTGAGCGCATAGTTGTCCATGACCGAGTGGAGGTAGATGCAATGGTCGTGCGAACTACAACTCGATTCACAGCTCGACGACCTCGTGAGCTGTTGCGTACCCCATGGCCAGCAACGTGCCATCCGGGCTAAACTTGATGTCGGCCAAACTTTGCTTGGAATCGCGCCCTTCATGCACGATTTCCAGCGTCGTGGCATCCAAAATGCAAAACTATCACAAACTCTTGCCATGACACCGCCGAGATGTACGATTCGCACCGCGCCATCTTTGAGCTGCGTCGTTTGCGATGCACTGCCTAGGCCGACTGCAACCAGCTTCCCGTCGCCGGAATAGCTCACGCATTTGATCGGCGCGTCCATGACAACTTTGCCAATCTGTCGATTCACGATAAGGACCGATCGACGATTCGGACACGGACCAGTTCGTGGGTGTGCGAGTTCCAAACACGCAGGGCGCCGTCGTCGCCGCCCGTGGCGACTACATGCGCCTGCGATGGATGTGTCGCGAGGCCAAACAGTCCGTGCTCCGAGTGGCTTTCGAGAAGGAGGGTGGTGTCCCCACGTTCTTGGCTCAGTTCGTACACGTCGCCACCTGCCCAAATCGCGTCAGCGAATGGCAGACCCACCGAACGTGCCTTTGGTCCCGACGACAAACCGCGATTCAAATGCGTCCCATGCGACACTGCGCACGATCGGGTTGGAGCACGCGGGCTTGGCTTGGACCATGTCAAAGTCCCAGATCGGAAGCAGCGACCGGCTCCACACTTTGACATGGCCATCGGCACTGCCCGTCACCACGCCTTGCGTCGTCGACCGTGAACGGATGAATATCAGCACACCGCGTCATCGTACCAAATGTTGAAATCGCCACGCAGTTGATCGTGCCGGCATGGGCTGGGACGCTCTTTTCAATCGTCGTTGTGGTTGCGTCCCACAAGTAGAGATGGCCCGTTCGAGTGCCTGGTCAAAGTTGTGTCAGCTATCGACCACACCCTTCGTTGCATCTCACACCCGTGACAATGCTGGCCTTGTCGAGAGCGCCTCCACACGTCAGCATTTGAATCTGCCCGTGGGCTCCAAACGTGCCAAACGTTGCATGGCAATGTGGCGGGTCGACCCGCCAGAAAATCATGTGATCGGCGCCGCCACTGATCACGTCGTACACACTCTGCATGGACGACAACGTCATGGCAAAGCGCGCAGGAAGATGCGTCGTCCGGGTCGTCGCCAAGATGCGGCTATCGTGCCACAACCCCGTCGGCGAAAAGTAGATGCACATCGAGTGGTATGGATCTTTCCCGATGCTCACGAGGCGAGTCGTTGGCTCGTTGAAGGCCAAGTACACGACTGCTTTGGTATGAAAACGCGCCAAGATCTAGCCATGTCCAAACGTTAAATGGACGCGGCCATGTCAACTGTTGTGCGGACTGCAATCGGTGTGCAAGCCGTCGGGTCCCAGACATGAATACAAGGGTAGGCTGCCTTTGGCGCCGTAAAGATTTCCTCGCCCGTCGCCACCAGGAGTCCATCGTGGCTGATCGCCATCGACACAACAGGGGCAGCATGACCAAGGTAAAACACTTGACCGTGATGTTTTCTACTGGGGGTGTCACCGAAGCACGACCGGGTCGGTCTCACCGGTTGTAGCTGACGCCAACTTTGCCAGCCACACTGATAAGCCGCTTGGACTTGGTGTACGCGAGCATGGCTCGGACGTCTTGCAGCCTCGCGCCGTAGGCATATTCCAACTCGAACGCATACGGAAACGTTTGCGGTTCGTCTGGCAGCACGGACGGCGGGATCAAGCTGCTTAGGTATGGCTTCGCACCTGCCATTCGACCCGTCAAACGCAACTCGAAACAAGTGGAAGAACCTGCAAATGGTGCGACCGCGAGCGGCGTCGGCACGAACCAGCCCTCGGTTTCGAGATCCGCATCGGCTTCCACCAGCTTGGCAGGATTCGCAATGTCCTTTTCCAACGGAAGGGCGGAAAACACCTTCCATTGAATGAGGCTGTGGTCGGCTAACCCAGCGCTGACGCAGTACGACCGATTTTGACTGAATGACACGCACTGTACTGGCCCCACGTGTCCAGAGTACGCTCTGGACGGCAAGCCATCGCGGACACACGGAAACCGAAACAGCTTCAGCACGCCTTGCGAGTCCCCCACGACGAGCGTCGTTGCGCTGGCGGTGCTGGCTGTCACCGTCGTCTTGGTCGATACGGCGGGCCACGCGCCTTGGTTGTACCAGTTGAAGATGGTGTGGCATGTATGCCATGTCTGGTTCTTGAGAGCTGTCGCGCTGGCGACGTGCGAACCAGTTGTCAAGTCGGCAAAGAGGAGCTCGAACCCGCCGCAGTTGCTCTATCGTGTACGTTTGAGAAAGGCCGGCACGGTGGCGATGCCAAAACGTACGCGAAGGTACTGCGAGTCGCTCGTGATGTCGACGTGTGTGATGAAGCTATGGCGAGCCGAGTCATGTGGCACGAGCGCCGCGGGCAGAACTACCTTTTGTGCTTGGTAAAGGTGGCGCGCTTGGCGTATTCGTTGGGGACGTCGTAGATGTAAATCGAGTTGTCTTGCGCGCCCACGACCAACGACACCCCGTCGGGAGAGTACGCAACGACAGAGATGGGCTGCTTTGTGTCGCGGGTTTCGTGCAATACCTCTGCGCTCCATCGTGTTCACATCTCGAAACGTCGATGTACGCCTTACCTAGCTTGACGCTGCCATCCGCGACTTTCTCCTCGAAGATCAGGAGCGTACCATCCTTCTTGTGCCGATTCTTGCGAGGGTTACCGCCCAGACCCACGGCAACGTATGCTCCCTCGGAAGAGTACGCGACGGCGCGAGATGCCGTGTCCAGCGCCATTTTCAGCACACACCGATGCCGGTACAAATCCCACACCCTCAACGTCGCATCATCTCCGCACGTGACGACTTTGTCCTTGACGGGGTGCACGGCCAGCGCCTGGACGTCTCCCTTCGAGTGCATTTCAACGCTGACCTGCACGGACCCGTCCGTCGCGCTCAGCTCAAAGATAGCCGAGTCACGCGTGCCAACTAAGAGAGATGGACCGGCCCAAGCCAGCGACCGAATCGGCATTTGATTGACAGAGTTCCATTCAGAGACGCATTCCAACTCGGACGTCCACAGCTGCACGACAATGTCAGCCAACACGTGCGATGCCAAGCGCGATACCTTGACAAGACCATCTCGTCCACCGCTAACGACCGACGTGCCGTGCACCGCCAGTGCTGCCACACTTCGCGTGTGCGCTGGTACGATCGTAACGAGCTCAATCCCCTTGAATTTGTACAGCTCGCCGCTGGTCGACCCCACGATCGCGTCGTGGTGGACAAAGACAACGGACAAGAATGGCTGGGCGAACCCTCGTTTGCCCATCAACGCCTGCTTGCGCACGAGGTTGCGGCCTTGGGGGGCATAAAAGAGCACCGTTTGCTTGTTCAACTGCAGCAGCAGCGGTGACCACACGATCAGTAGGACGAGACTCCTCACCGCTAAAAACGTCGATGTCGCCGGGTGAAAGACCAGACCAAGTAACTTGTGTGGACCAGACTTGACGCTCGAGAGCACGACCCCAAGCTCCCAGTCGTACAACACGATCGCATTGTCGACGTCGCTTCCGGCAGACGCAAGGATATTCCCCGCCGGATTGAATCTAGACGATGGCAGAGTGACCGGTAGGCATCGTAGAGACTGTTCGACGTACGCGAGTTCAACCACGCCTCGCTTGTGTATGCCTCGAAGGGTCGAAACGACGTGAAGGGCCTAAAACGACGTACGAACGATCACGAGTTGGGTTGTGGCAGTGCGCTCCACCTGGGATTGCCAAACATGGATCGCTGGAAACTTGCCGCCTTCGCCAGACGCGACGATGTCCACATTGGGATGCGTGGCGAGGCATAGCACCTAGGACAACGTGCGAGAGTGAGAGCGCAAGCGGCCATCGATCGCGCCGCCAACGCCACGTACTTCGTCCTGGTGCTGTTTGAAATGCTTCTGGGACCATCCTTTCACGTCAAACACAACCACGAGCTTGGCGATAGGGTACACCATTTTCCCTACATCGCATGCGCTGTCATCGCGTCGCGAAATCACCCGTACCGTGCTTGGTGTACTTGAGGTTGTTGCGGCAGTCATGGGAGCGGTAGCCGTAGACCCACTCCATGTCGAGTTGATCGGGGGGCATCGTGGTGTCCTAGAAAGAGAGATCGTGGCCGAGTCGGGGTTGGAGGTAGAATTACTGGCTCAGGGGCAGCATTCGACGGCGGAATGCAGCTGCCAACCCATGGCTTGACTGGCTCCGCTCCAGTGTCCGTTTCGCCTTGTCGCACCAGCGACTCGATCGCAAACTCGCCGACGTTGGACGCTTCCTCAAACGGACTGCGCTCCACAGGCGCTTGCAGCTACACACGTGCTCCAGCCCAATGCTTGCAACCACCAAGTACCTCAAACTCATCGTCGGACGTTGCGTGGTACTCAAACTCGGGCGGCGACGGCTCCTTCGCTTCCATCTCGACGCGCCACTGAAACAAACATCGGTCGTCTTCGCCCGACGTCATGACGAATTGATCGTCCATCCTGGACACGATGCCGTCAGTGTCGGACAAATCGAGTGCATGTTACGTGAATTCGACGTGCGAAATGCGGCCGCTGTGCCCGTTGTACTGATGGCACAAGTTGTTGGTGGGCACGCACGGATATTTGTACAACCGAACGTGGCCGTACTGATCGCCCGTGACGAGCACCGTTCCTGCCCGATTCCGGTTGATTGCAACGACATCAAACGCGTTCTTCTTGGCGGGCCATGCACCCAAGACTGTTGACACCGGTCAGGCTGGAATGCACAAAGCCAGAGCGTACCAGACCACCCGTAAATGCTCGTCAACGTTGCCCAGGCCACGTCCTTGAGCGCGCCCAGGCGTGTGTTCTCGACGCTCGAGTTCGTGTCGTAGTAGACCAATTCGCCTTTGGATGTGGCAACTTGAAGCCATTCGCCCGTCGAGCTCAGGTCAAAGTGCGAAAACGTCACGCTCGGGTCTTTACTGCGGCATTTGCCTGTCCAAGATTTCACTGACCGATCCTGTGGCTGCAATGCCTCGTACCCTTGGACGCCCAGTCGTCCGTGTTGTACATATACACGACGTTTTCCGAGCAAATGGCGAGCGTTGTGCCGTCGGCACTGAATTTGACGTTGGAAATAAACTTTTTCGAGTCCTTGCCTTGATACTTGACGGCCAAGTTGGCCTCGTTCAGGATGGTAAACGCGCCATTCAGTTGCGGCTTCTCTGACTCGAATTCGGTACCAAACCTGGTGCCGCATGAGTCGACGAGCGTGCAGCGACCAAGCCGTACCCGACCGCAATGATTTTTCCGTCGGGAGAGTACATGCACGATCGAGCGGGCGCGTCCAAGTTGACCATGCGAAGATTGCGATGGTGGATGAGGTCCCATACGCGAATGCTTTGATCGTCGCCAACCGAGCACATCTCGTGGTTGGTAGGGTGTGCCGCCAGCCCGCCTCTACACGTGGTGCGCCATAAGACCACCGTCGAGTCTCGAGGAGCTTCCTCACAGCTTTCGACTGCAGTGACCCATGACCAACGGCCCATAGTGCAGGTTGCACCCGTCCGAAGCGCTCAGTTCGAAAATCTCGGCCCCACCCGTCGCAATCAGCAGCTTCGTCGCGTCTCCATTCGTCACAGCGCTCCGAACACGGCC